GATGGGAGGTAGAGCGCTGTGTTTCAGCATACTTTATTTTATGATGTGATCACACAGCAAGGCTTTAATGCCATTGGGCAGGTAAGCTCCGCACCTGTTGTGCTCACCTGTATTTTCTTCCTCTCATCTCTTCTTTGTCTTCTCTTTTTCCCTCTCCCCCTCCTCCTACCTCCTTCCTGCTGGCCTCCTTTATCTTTCTTTCCCTTTCTCAGATTATCCTTCCAGGTTTTCGTAATAAATTTATATTTTGTAAAAGGATTTTGTTGTACCAGGTTTTACATCCTCAATGAATCTGACTGGCTTTTATTTTCCTCTCCAAAATCAGGTTTTTGTTCTCACCATCTCTCCCTGCCATGTCCAGTCACTGTTTTGGTTTTGGCACCATCAATATCAAATGTACAAACGGTTCTTGCTAACCAACACCAGGTATATCTGATGTTCAGATGAGTTCCAATAAAAACAATTTTTTTTTTCAGAAGAGTGTCCTTTCTTGAGTTATGGAAGGCTTCTCATTGATCTTTACAGCTCTCTGTAGCACTTTGGACCAGCCAGAGCTCTACTGTCTCATTTGCTTCACGGGAGACCTTTAGATCTGGGGTAAAGTGGAGGGCTTCGGGTCAGAGAGTTGGTCTGTGAGGACTTAAATGGTATTCAGATATATTTGTGTTTTTTCCAAGGCATCGTGGACACAGGATGTGCGTGTGTGTGCATACATGTGTGTATAATATCCTCTGAGCCTACTTTCTTCTGTTCAATAAGGATAGTGCTGCTTTGGTAGTTATGGTTTGATGGTTATATGAAATCGTGGGAATGCAAGTAACTGGAAAGTCCTGACACTCAGATGTGGTTTAGTTTCCATTTAGAATCTTTAAAAGCAGATTGTCATACAGCCCCTCAGACCCCAAAAATGGTTCTTCTGAGCTGGCTCTGGGGCCAAAGGGAGGAAGGGGGTGAGCTCTAGCTGCCAACTCTATAAAGTCTGAGCAACTCTGCTATTTGTTTTCAGTATTGTGTCCCTCTATAGTTTCATTTACAGGGAGTTTTGTTTCAATAAAGGAGTTTACAGAATATTCCAAAAGATCCAGAGCTGGCAGGGAGAGTGGAGGGGGTGGGTTTCCAAGCCCAGGGTAGCCCCCAGGGAGCTCAGTCAGGCAGCAGCCCTTTCCTATGCTCCTTTGCAGATCTGATGACTTCCTCTAGACCTGTGCTGTCCAATGGGTAACCGAGCCACGTGCCTGCTGAGCCCTTGAAATGTGGTTGGTTTGAACAGTGATGCACAGCAAATGTAAACACAAACCTGACTTTGAAGACTATGAAAAAATATAGAATAGCTCAACTTTGTGTTGAAATATTTTGAGTATTAGGTTAAAATGTTAAAATTCACCTGTTTTTCACTTTTTAAATATAGCTACTGGAAAATATTAAATTACCTGCGGCTCGCATTTGTGGCTCACATATTTTTTTGGGCATCACTGCTCTAGACCTCCACGACTGCTTCACCTCCAGGCCTCAAATAAGCTGGGTCTAGGCACAGCTCAGGGTCAGCTCCCTCACCTAGGGACCCTTCTGGCACCAGCCTTTCTTGTGTGCCAGGGCTTTCTTGTGTGTTAGTGAGATTCTGATGGTGTTGGGAACAGAGGAGGTGAGGGCCTTGGCTCGAGTCCTGCTGCTTGCTAGAGTTATGTAATCTGTGCTGCCCAGAAGGGCCACTAGATGCTGCTCTGTGATCCCTAGAAGAACAAAGCACCACTTCCTCAGGAGCCAGGGCTCAGCCTGGCTTTATTTGGAACCCTTTCTGGAAGCTAGCTGGCTGGGGCCTTGGCCTTCGGGGAAAGGGGTATGCAGTGGCTGCAGTGGGCAGGTACTCGCTGCAATGCATGGGCAGCCCAGCCCTGCGGTGCAAATGACATGCAGGTTGGCCCTAGGATAAATAGGCTGATTGATGTGGTTGGGATTTGGAGATCTTCCCTGTAGTTCTCTGGAAGAAAAGAGCTCTGCATCATTCAGCTGGGTCTGCCTCCTGGGTCTTTGATTCTGCCATTTCTGGTGATGGGAGCTTGAGGATGGCGGTGGTGGGCTGAGTGAGCAGAGAAACTGTGTAGTGCCTTGAAACAGGCAGAGCAGGCAAAGCACCGGTGGACGGGGGTTCTAAACAGCCCCTTCCCTCAGTCACAACAGCAAGTGGGCTTGCAGCACCATCCTATTCATGCTCTGCTGCATACATGACTTTGCCTTTGACAAGTGTGAGGAGGTTGAGGGTAATTCTGCCAAGAGCTCTTTTTGAAGGTGCTGGGGAAGGGCTTGCTGGACAAAGGCAAGAGAGGAAACAGTGAAGTGGAGCTTAGTACTGGTACTGTCCACCATGAATTAGAATAGCTACAATTGAAATTTGTAGGTATAGGTAACAGGATGGGTCTCAATGGTTCTAAGGGGTGGATTACAGCCTAGTATCTAGGCATATTTTGGGAAATACTTTGGGAAAGCACTTAACCTTTGCTCGACACCAGAATCGGAAGGGGACCCTGAGACATAGAAAAGGCGATGTGGACATGGGCCAACGTGGGAGCTGGGCCTCTTCTCTAGGGGCTGGAGAAAAAAATGCCTGGGGGTTCACCTTCGTCTTAGGAAGTCACTGGGCTCGGGAACCCGAAGATTACTTCTGAGAGCTTCTTGCTATAGAAGAGGGTTGAGAAAAGCTCCATTTGAAGATCAGGTAGGGGTTGTACCCTGAGGAACATTCACAGGGAGGGGCACACTGAGCTTAAGGCCTGCCTTCATCTTCCAAGTTAAGATGACAGCTGCTGTGGATGTTTCTGGAGCTGTGGAAGAAGTAGCCCTCTGGGTACAGAGCAGTGCGTTTTCCACCAGGGTCTCTAATGCTTTCAGTTGCCACTACTGATGGAGAAATCTCTGGGTAGTACACAGGCAAATTCTAGTACTTTCTGATGATAGTAGCATTGTTCTGAATGATACCAGATTTCTGTTCTGTTCTGCTTAGGGCAGTAGGCAGAGCTGGCACAGACTAACAGCCTGGTGAGCCGGAGTGGTCTGGGAATGGGGTATTTTCCTTGTCTCTGGATTGCCACTTCCTCATACCTAGGTCTACAGGTGATATCTTAAGATATGGTTTGAGTCTCCTGTTTCCCAGGTTTGCAGTCAAATCTAAGTCAACCTCCAAAGCCAAACTAAAAAAGTAACAAATGAATGGCCTTTGTGAAGGATCTGGATTGTCTGTGAGAGGAGCAGTTATTAGAATCAGAATTTTACTCAGAATTTAATTTTTTAGCACCGAGTCTTCAAATTATACACGTTCGTATGAAAAACATTTAAAGAAGCGAGTTAGAGGCTGGTTGGAGGAGTTGCTTTAGTTTTATTCTAAGAGATAAGGCTGCCAGTGGAATTTTCGAGGTCACATTTGTGATGAGCTTAGTCTCTGGGGCAGAGGCCGAGCCAGGGTTCCTCAGGGCCCTGTCTCAGGTGTGGTGTGGGAAAGCCAGTTGCTGTTTGTGGAACGGTCCAGAACTGCCCATGTTTCTCTAGCCTGGATTTCTGCGACCCACCCAGGCTGTGAGCATTTACCTGGGACAGGGAAACAGAAGTCCCGGAGGGGAAGAAGGCACTAAAGCCGATGGGACAGTCCACTCGGGATGCGCGAGGCAGTGAGGCAGCTTCAGCAGTCAGCTTTTCGCCGCCTTCCTCCCCGAGCTCCCAAGCTTCTTTCTCGGGGAACGAGGCTGGTAAATGGAAGGAGAGAGCCCCGGTCCCGGCCTCCATGGATGGCTTCTAGCGCGGCTCGGGCGGCAACCCTAG